AGTCCATGAGGTGGGAGGTCGGACCCCTACCTCACTGCCTTTGAGGAGTAGGGAGGCCTCTGTTTGCCCTGTTCCTATGCTCAATCAATTCCTCAATGATTATCTCCCTTCTCATCATCTCTAGTAGGGTGTCATAGGTGGTGGGGTCTTGATTCTGCACATCCCTCCAGAATAGGGCGTTCATGTTCAGGCCTCCCCTCAATGCAGATAGTGCTTCTCTGTCGGTGACTTGTACGCAGTAAGTCATCTCGTCGGTGAAGCGTGACAGGAAGCTCTTTAGGGACTCCCCATGTGCCTGTCTCATGTCTTGGAGATGCTGGATGGGGGCCTCTCCTTCCTTGCTCACTGCAAATCGCTTCAAGAATGTTGTCTTGAACTCGGGCCAGCTTCGGATGCTCCCAGGTGGCAACCTGCTATACCAGATTTCAGCCGCTCCACTGAGGGTTAAGTGGAAAGCCCTGCACTTCACGGCTGGGGTGGCACCCCTCAGGCTCATGTGAGTTTTGTAAGCGTTGAGGTGCTTCTCCGGGTCGCCTCTCCCGTCATACTTTGGTATTTTTGGCATGACGTAGTGGCTCGGGACCTGGGCATTCCTTAGTTCTCTTGAGAAAGGCAGGTTCTCATCATCATCATCCAAGTCACAGGACCTCTGCTGCTCATCAGAATCGTAGTCATCGGTCTCGTACCTTGGTTTTTGGTGAGAGGGTTCAGGCCGGTTCCTAGCCTCTTCCTCCCTCTTTTGCGGGGCAACGCGGGGGGCATTTTCATGCCTTCTCTCCGGCTGCTGGGGCATTGGAGGTGGAGGCTGTGGCCTCGTCCGAGGCTGCTGAGCCTGCTGTTGACTAAGCCTCGATTCGACGGGGCTGATTTTGTCAAAAACACTGCCAACTCTCCTATGTCTTGGATCTTGCTCATATGGAGGTGGAAAATCATCGTGGCTCATTTGGGCCTCGGTGGGTTGGCCAGAAGCATAGTTGGAGGAAATGTCGACTCCCACTTCCCTCTCGAATGGGCTTCCACCTCGGCCATAGTCTGGTGAGGCAGCCCTATGATTCTGAACCTCGTCCTCTTGCTGATAGTGCCCGTGGGGGGCGTATGGAGAAATGGGAAAGCCTCCATGGCCTTGCATTTGGGCCATGAGCTCCCTCATGGCTAAGTTTTGGTTGGCAATATCCCTTATGTTGGCTGCCATGGTAGCCATTTCTCTTGATAGTCGTGCTGTCGCACGCATTCCACCTCTCCTTTGGTGGTGGTGGAGCCTCGACCGAGCTGCGGGACAGCAGGCTGGGGAGGCACATTCATGCTTTCTCTTACCCTCCTGGGGGGGTATCTTCGTTAGAACTCATATTTCTTTTATCAAACTCAGATTTTTCCAAGTGATAGGGGTTCTTTCTGTTCTTTTTTGAGAACAAATCCTTTTTCAAGGGGGTTGCCCAAATGTTTTTCAGTAAGCTTTTACCACAAGGTTGCTCGTGGTTATGGTATGATTTTCCACAGACGGCGCCAATCTGTTGACCCCAAAAAGTGCGCCAACAGATGTCGGTCTCACCCTCGCTTGTGTAGACAAATGTCCAACACGCTAAGACACGTGGACGGTCTAAAACGAGCTATTCAAAGGGCGTGGGAGTAGCCCAACGACGCGGGACGGTGACGTTCGGAATTCGGCGGGTTGTTCGTAATCCGATTGTACAATAATTACCAACCGATGTTCATAAATGTATATGTAAATGTGTATAAACTTGATTTGTGTATTGCAAGTGAACTGAGAGAGAGTTGAGTAAATGTAGTTCTTTGTATTGATTCTTGCATTAGTCTTTTGATATTACACAAGGGAGTATTTATAGTAGTACATATGAAATGGGAGCCCTTGGATGAAGTGGCACGTGGCCTCATCTCTTTAGTTCAAACATCTTTTCCTAGGTATGGGGCTTAACTTGCTAGCTTACGGCGCATTTATTGCTTGTGCAGGGCCTCCATGCTAGTGACAAGACTTAACCTTTATGCTTATGACAAACGTTCTATCAATCATTCGAATAAGATTTGTGCAGGTGATCTCTTGGGAGAAGTGACCATGGAGGATGTTTCTTTGTGGTTCAGAGGCTCATGCATCAGTTTCGGGGCTTCGGCCATTTGTCATGATACTTCCACTTGAGGGCCTCAGCTGCTCTCAACAGGTTCCAGCAGTCTGGCTTCGGTTAGTAGGCCTCGGACAAAAAGGAGCCTCGACAGATGGACTTCGGCTCGAAGCAATTCGGATGTAGCCCATCTCAGCATTGTGTGCCACCTCGACCGGAATGCCACGTGGATCGCCATGAGTGGGCCATTGTCCCAGGTAGGTGGGCCTGGTGTGACAACCCGCAATATCCATCATGAGATTCTACCTTCTCTTCTTCTTCTTCCCAAAGCCCCCAACTTCGTCTGGATTTTGTTCCATCACTATTGGTCGACCTAAGTCTCCTGAGTTAATCATGGAGATAGGGGCCGAATTAAGGACCTTCTGGCAGTTTGAACTAGTTGAAAAGAAACAAGTAATAGTAGAAGGGACATACTCTGCCTATTGGTTATCCCAAGAATGTACTCTCAACTTGTCTGAACTCATGCAGAAGTCAAGGTAAAAAGTAAAAGAAAAGAAAAAGCAATGTTTTTATAAGGGAGGTAAATGTTGGAGTTTGAACCCTGACCTCATTAAAATATAATTTCTTAAGGATGCCTAGCTCACTCTTAATGCCTAGGTCGAATGATGAAGTTCAGCTTAGATACGAAGCCGTTGTAATCCTAAAGAAACCCAATGATTAAGAAATCTCTGCCATACTAACCAGTCACTATACTCACCAATCTAGATGAGACAATTGGCATTTCTAATGTCAGTGCCTCTTTATTGGACCAATCTGTTGAGAGTAATCATTACGTACACCAGCATCATTAATAGATGATCTAGCAGGGCTGACATGATGAAAATCACTACTAAAAAATAGCTTTTTACCTACGAAAGATTATCAACGGATTGCATCGTTGGTAATTAGAAATTGATTATTCGTTAGTAAAAGTAATTTACTTTCAACTACAATAATCAGCAACGGATTTTCTGTTGATAACAATGATATCCTTTTACCAACGGATATTCCGTGCCTAATGTAACCATTTAACATTTGGATCTTTCACCTACAGATGTACCAAATATTAACAACGGAAACCATCGGTTGGTAATTAGAAATGGACTATCCGTTGATAAAAGTAATTCCCTATCAACTACGATAATCAGCAACGAATTTTCCATTGGTAATGATAATATCTCTTTACCAACGGATATTCTGTGCTTAATATGACCGTTTAACATTTGAATTTTTCACCCTGCGGATATTCCGTTGGTAATTAAAAACGGATTATCCATTGGTAAAAATAATTCAATTATCCCATATCGAAAGTTTACAACAAAATTTTTGGAGTTGTCCTCTATAAATTTTTGCTTCAATAAGTGGTTAAACGATATTTTGGCTTTTCAATTCAATTGTTTAAAAGTTTTAAAAAAATTATAATTATTAAATAAATAATAATAACAATAATAAAAAAATAAGTAAATAATTTTTTTTACCATGCCTCACGCCTATACGACTATTTACAACATTGATTTTTATTAATTGTAATAGTAGACATTTACTAACGGAAAGTCTGTTGGTATTGGTTAAGATTTTTACCAACGAATATTCCGTTAGTAAAAAATTCACACATTACCAACGGAATTTTCGTTGGTAAAATGTTTACTCTTTACCTGCGGCACAATTCGTTAGTAACTATCAGCGACCCTCAAATTAACAACGGATTTGTGGTTGCAAATATTTCGTTAGTAAAGAGTAATAGCAACGGATATCAAGGTTTTAAGAACGAAAAATCCATGCTTGAAACCAAGTTTTTTAGTAGTGAATCTTATGAAGCCAACCTCAATATCCAATCAAAGCTTGAATAATTGGGATAATTCTACTCACACAGACTCACAGACAGACTCACGGACAGGGGTTTAAAATGTGTCACATGTGCTACAAAATAAGTCACGTTTGCTGGCTTTTTTGGAGGGAAACCAAGCCCATTCTGCCCAATCTACACACCCATTTCACATCTATGTCTGAAAAAACGATTTTCCCCCAAAATTACTCGTAAGGCGCCGGCAGCGTGGGGAACTTTGACTATGGCATTCCCTTCAATTTTTGTAGTTTCGGCAACATACAGGAGCCTGCTTTTTTGGTCGACTGAAGGCAACGTACGGGAGCTTTTGTGTTGTCGACTGAAGGTATTCGAAAGACGTTTTTGCCGGTTTGCAAGAGCCAAAGGTCATTGTGGACGAGTGACAATTTTCAATTTTTGCAGATTTGAAGGTAGCATACATGTTTTTGATTTTTGCAGATTTTAAGTTTTTGTTTGTGATGTGTAAAAATCGTCAATCCGTGGAAGTTTCAGTTAAAAACCGAAGTTGATTTTTTCTATAATAAATTTGCTTTTAAAATTAATTAATTACTTCAAGTTTTCAAAAGTTAGCCAAACCAAAGGGTGAATGGTTGCTCAAAAATTGTTCGTTAGTGTTACGTCCCAATTACCAGTCCTCAATAGCAAAGCTGAAAATGTTGAAGCTTTCAGCTTGTCATTTTAGCCTCCTAAAGCAGTCCCATTTATTTCTTTTTTCTTCCAAAGTTAAAATGGAAAGCATAATATTATTTTACTAAACTTCCTGATAAAGTTCTACTAAAATATTTTTTGAATTAATGTACTGATGTTCTAATGAGGAAGAAGTTGTTGTTCCTATGGAATTAATGCCTAATTTTGTTGAAGTTCTACTAAAATCCTATGTACTGATGTATTAAAATCTTTTTTGAATTAATGCCTAATTTCTGTGTATTTCATTGCAATGGAATTCGAAAATATTGTTTAACAATGATACCATCTAAAATGAGAGTTGTTGTATACGTTGACTGAACATTACAGTTGCTTTTTTCACAGCATAATAAAGAATGGATTTAGACGTCCAAGACAAAGATGACAATGTTGTAGTGCAATCTGGAAATGAGAAGTTAAAGGAGTCCATGAACATAGTGGAAGGTGTAACAGCAAGGAGAGATGTTATAATTGCACCTGAAGTGGGTATGTTGTTTAAAAGTGAAGTAGATATGTATGATTTCTACAAGAAATATGCTTATGCAGTGGGTTTTCCAATCAAGAAAAGAAATTCAAAGAAAGGGGATGATGGGGTTTTGAGATATTTGACATTGACTTGTAGTCATGAAGGCAGAATAATCAGTAATAGCAGCAGTTCTTTGAAGCCGCGTCCAACAGTGAAGATGGGTTGTAAAGCCAGAATATCTGCATCTTCTGATACTTTTGGGAATTGGAGAATTAACGTTGTAAACCTCGACCATAATCATGACATAAGTCCTTCTAAATCCAAATTATATCGATGTAACAGACAAATGAGCACACATGTGAAACAAAAGCTTCAAATGAATGATTTGGCAGGAATCCCATTGCATAAAAGTTACAATGTTGTAGTTGTTGAAGCAGGTGGATATGAGAACATAACATGTATTGAAAAGGATTGTCGTAACTACATAGACCGAGTAAGACGCTTAAGACTTGGAGAAGGAGATGCTGCAGCAATTCAAACATATTTTTCGAAAATGCAAGCACAATGCCTAGGATTTTATTTCAGTATGGATTTGGACGATGAATCGCGTCTGCGAAATGTATTTTGGGCAGATAATCGGTGTAGGCAGGCTTACAAGGAGTTTGGTGATGTCGTTACGTTTGATACCACTTATCTGACTAATAAGTACGACATGCCGTTCACCCCTTTTGTCGGAGTAAATCATCACGGGCAATCAACACTACTTGGCTGTGGTCTGGTATCGAACGAAGACACAGATACTTTTATATGGTTATTTAAGACATAGCTTCAATGCATGCATAGCCAAGCTCCACATGGTATAATTACTGATCAAGATAGGGCAATGCAAAATACAATTCAGATTGTTTTCCTACATACAAAACATAGATGGTGTCTGTGGCACATTTTAAAGAAGTTGCCAGAGAAATTTGGCTATCACGTGGACAAGGGTTCGATATTCGGGGCTATACATGGTCTGGTGTATGATTCGTAATCCAATGCAGAATTTGAAGACGGTTGGAGAGCAATGATTGAGGAGTATCACTTGCATGATAGTGATTGGTTATCTGGATTGTACGAGAATAGGGGACGTTGGGTTCCTTACTTTTTGAAAATCACTTTCTGGGCGGGTATGTCAACTACACAATGAAGTGAAAGTATGAATGCATTTTTTGATGGCTATGTGCATTCGAAAATCTCGTTGAAGTAATTCATCGAACAGTACGAACGTGCTCTTAGGAGTAAGGTTGAGAAGGAATTTCAGGCTGATTTTAAGTCATTTTCGCAGATGGTGCCCTGTGCAACACAATTTGAAATGGAGCAACAGTATCAATCAGTTTACACAATTTCAAAATTTTGTGAAGTTCAGGCAGAGTTCATGGGAAAGGTGTATTGTGACATCCTGTCCACTTTTGAAAGATGTTCCAATATGACGTATGAAGTACGGGAAACAATTATGTGTGAGGGCCATCGGAGGAAAAAGACGTATATCGTGGCATACGAGAGAGATAAATGTGAAATTATTTGCACATGTCACTTGTTCGAGTTTTGGGGGATACTTTGCAAACATGCGATCACAGTGCTGGCTTGGAATGACGTCACACATATTCCGGATAAGTACATACTACGGAGATGGATGAGAGATGTTCGTAGAGCGCACACGAGAGTTGCAGTAAACTACGATGGGTTAGTCAATACTCCTACACAATTGAGATATGAAGAGATGTCTAACGAGTTTGCGCAACTCGTAAACCTTGCTGCAGAAGATGAAATACGTTCACGTGCGATAGTGGAATGGATAAAATACCAATGCAAAGAGCTTACGACAACAAAATCGAGTATTGGAAGTAATTTCGTGGAGCAAAACACTATTTAGGTCCCGAATCAATGTACTTATGTATCAAATAGTACAAGTCTTAGCATGTTAGATCCGAAGTTGACTTGAAGAAAGGGAACGCCAAAGAAACTTAGAACAAAAAGCCCATTAGAGACTGCATCAAAGAAAGCAAAGGTATGTTCGCTTCTTTGATTCCAGGCTAATCAATTTTTTCGAAATAAAATTAAGAGTAACTTTAATGTACATGCAGGCCAGTTCAAAGTCAGGCACCTGTAAAAGACCAACAACGAGCAACACTAGTATGGTCGATGGCAGATTCAATGTCCAGCCACATCAAGCAGAACAGTGTTCCATGCCTACACCAATTCCATACTTGTCGCACTCTATGCTGCCGCCGTTCTCCATCTCACAGCAATTACCATCTACAAATTTCATCCTTCCATCGTCTGCAAACATTGTGTACAGTTCGCAAGGTATAAAGTTATGCCTTCTATATGAATTGGAAATTCATTTTTTCATGATTGCTTCATTTAACATGGACAATGTATTTTAATGTAGGTCATTCTATGCCGTTTCCCTATCCCAATTTACCGGACGTAGGTGGCAAGGGCTTGTGAGGAGGATGTTGGTAAAAATATGTTGAACTTATTTTGCTTGGCCATTATGTCTCTTTCGTGTTGAACTAAACTTAATTATGTTGTATGACATTCCGTAAATGTCTCAATCATTGTATGTTTTACATGAAATTATTCTATTAGTTCTAGCTGTAATGTAAATTTCTCTTGAGCAGGCACTTATCAAGCCTCGAAACGTTGACATCATTCCAAAAGCCATCGAAGACAATGTTGGCCAAGTGCTAGAGCAAAAAGTGGAAATTGAAAAGCACAGCTATTTTTTGGTTGATCTGGACAAAGAAGCTCTAAGATCTTTGAAGAAAAGGAACAATAAGTTTTTGAGTTAAGAGATAGATCTTTATATTGGGCATCCTTATGCACTTCTACAGATATGGATTTCAATGGTGTGCCTTTCTTTTTAGTATATATATGTATTTATTAAAAATTTGGATGTTTTAGCAGATTCCTTTATCCTCTAGAAATTTGTAATTACAATTTTATAATGAATAGAATCACATTTCTTATAATTGAACAAGTTAAAGGCATTTGTTCTGGCTACCGCTTCTTCGTGTATTAACTATTTTTATTGAATTGTTCACGTGCATTTTTTAATTTGTTGCTGCTTGGTTAATTGGAAGCTAGGGCCAAACATTTTTTTTTTTAATGGTGACGTGCATTTTTTTGGCTTATCTAAAAGATAGAATTAATATGGCATGGATGTTAATTCTAGTGTTTGATTCTGATGCTGCTTGGTTAACTAGAAGCTTAGGCCTATCTCTTTTAGAATGGTGGTAGTAAAATGAAATTGGAAAGTTCTTTTCCCATCCAACTTACTGATACAATTTTTCCATTCAAGGCCGGAACTTGAACTTGCATTCTAAAAAACCATTAGAATCATAACAATATAACTTATCACAAAGTCAAAAATTTCCAGAGAGAACAACATAAATTCTTGATTTGGAGTATCACAGTTGATAGATGTAGAACAAGAACTACCGAAATATCAAAATGAAAAGCTAGCATCTTAAACCCAAAAAGCATGAGCCGAGCTACAATATCAAAATGCGGTGACAATGTTCATACAGGAAATAGCATTACAACGTGTTCTTGCGCCATACTAGTCATATATGTACAAATCCATGTCATTTTACTCTTTCCAACACTATCTAGAAATTACACCAGCCGTTTTCCTTTGGCATTCACTTCCAAGCTAACTTTCTCTGCACGGAGCCTCACATCCACCGAAATCTGGAGGTCTTCTTTATCGCTTATTCGAAGTACGGGACATTTCTTCAACTATTTCATTCTTCACATGGTTAACCGAGTTTGCACTACTATGTTCGGATGGACCGCTTGATTTTTCTTTGACAACCCACTCCCAAAATCCGCATTTGTTACTACAGCAAAGGAATAATTTTCCTTTGTTCTCATTCTCCTTCTCCACCACAAAACATTTCTCAAAGCCATGTTGACATCGCGTGCATCGACGTTTCTTTTTACATTCGGCAAAGAAGTGATCTTTAGCTCTACAACTATGACATATTCCAGAGTTCCTTTCAGGCATTCTGAAATGGGAATCAACACAACATGGTCACAAAAATGATTGCCACAAGTTCCAGGGTAATACTCAATACAAAGAAAACTGGTGACTTAACCATAGAATCTACAATGAGGTGCCATTTGTAGGAGATTGTCAAGTAAAATGATAACAAATCATTAATTTATCAATGACATACCATCTCAACTGAATCTACAAATCATCAATTTCTCAATTGAATCTACAATGACGTAACAATTCATCCATCATTAATTTATCAATACCCCTGATGAATTATAATTTCAAATACACAAAAAATTAATTATTTTCAAAATCATTTGTGAATAGCAATTTTCACGATTCAATGGGAAATGATACATTCCAATTAGTGGAACCAATGAGTTTCAAACCACCGTTTTCAGCATATTACTAAACTAAACAAACACCCAGAGAACTCACTAAATCTTTGAATTATAGAACCAAAATAATTTCACTTTAGTATTATCTTCAAAACCAAGAACGAAATTGAATACGAAAAGGCAAAATAAATGTACTAGGGAACGGAATTAGCTCTATTTTAGGGAGAGAACGATAATGAAACGATGCAATAGAAAATTACAACCTGCTTGTTGGTCTAGTGGTTTGCCGACGAT